TATGTCAGATCCATCATGCAATAAGCTCAACACTCCATCAAGCATTTTCTATTTAACCTGAAAGGGGACTAAGTCAAATCGCTTAAATGTCTATGTCCATGATTTGCAGGGAGAAATGACCGCAGCCACAGTGGAGCGTGGAAAGGAAAGATTGTGCAGTGGCTCTCATGTCTTCAGATTTAGTATTAAGAATCTGAACCAGTGTATCATAAAGCGGTGATGAAACGGTGTGATCTACTATAAAATATCTATGACATGGGCCATCTTAAAGCAGAGAGCAAACTCAATGGCCTCAAGTAAAAAGGAGTAAATTTCAGCTTTGGGGTATGCTGCATGTATGACCTGAAAAACTGGATTGAGGCCTTTTAAGTAATTTATTAGTTCCCTTATGGTAAAATACTATAGAACTGAATAAATGATGTTAATCTTTCTACAGGTTTGTATGTACTAGTTTATAGATGTTAATAGCTAATTATAACACTTCTGTATGTGTGAGATTACTATGGCACAGGATTAATTAAGTTATATTAAATCCATTGTTTCATATTGATTTTACCTCTCATTTCTGTGGGTGTGATTTTTGTTTTTGTTTTTTTCAGTTTTCTCTCTTGTTTTTCTGGTTCTTTCTTTGAGATCTTCATAAAGGAAGAAAAGTGGCAGACACAGCAACCACCAGACTGAGCTGATTTTGATTGGCTAAAATGCCTGTAGAAAAGATCTTCTATTAGGGCTTGTTTCAATGCCCACTGGGAGGGGGGTGTCAACAAAAAGACTCCCATTGACTTAAATGACCGTGACATTTGGCCCTTAAATTCTGTGGCCATGATTTTCAAAAACAGGGGCTTAAAGTTAGTCCCCTAAATCCACATTTATGCATATGAATAAATGGTCTGATTTTCAAAAGTGCTAACATACACAAGCTTTCACTTCATCCCAGTTCATTTAAATAGGAAGTTTCCATCACTGTTATTTTTGATGGGATAAGACACTTGCCCAACATGTGTTTGAGAAATGAGAGAGTGATGTTTTCCATGACACTCACTTAAAGTAATAAACATTTTCCTTGCTCTAAGTCAGGGATCGGCAACCTTAGAGAAAGCCCCTGGTAGGCTGGGCTGGTTTGTTTACCTGCAGTGTCTGCAGGTTCAGCCAATCGCAGCTCCCACTGCCTGCGGTTCGCCGTTTCAGGTCAATGGGGGCTGTGGGAAGCGGCGTGGGCCGAGGGATGTGGTGATCCTCTGAGCTCCATACAATTATCAGGGACTACCCACAAATAAGCCAGTGTGTCTCCACCGTGGCTCTGGTACATGGCAGCCACCTCCTCTGGAAATGTGGATCCAGTGGTCATAATTAATGTTAACTTTTGTCTAATTAACAACACAGCCTTATACAGCGTAGGGAACACAGCAAATTCTGAGGTAACATAATTACTCACAAACAGCAATTTTAATGGTGATCACTGAACTTTATATGGGGATGGCTAACATGCCTTTACTTCCCCCCACCACCAAATCATGAAGATTAAGTGCAAAAACCTGATTGCCAAGTAGTTCTACTGAAGTAAGTAGGCTTATTCACATAATAAGGTCAGTAGGATTTGGCCTTAGGTAAACTTGTGGTACTACATAAGGATGAACAGACCCTAACACATATAAAAATATAATTCAGTTGTAAGAGTTGGCCAAAAAAAAAAAAAATACTTTCCAACATTGTAGGGTTTCTCTGCTTCTGTCTGCTGTCAAAAATTGAATTACCTGGTGATGGATAGCAGGTGTTCAAAGTAGAAACCTGGTGCTTTTTTGGTAGTCCTGTAATCACTTACAGTTAGGTAACATATGCTGTGTGGCAAGAACACTATGTTCAGAGAGCAACATCTGAATATAGAACAGAATTCAGTAGAGCTGAAATTTCTGAACTGCAGGTAATTGTGCCAAATTGAGCAACCCACCAAACTGCACAGCGTGAATTATCAATATTTTTTAGTTCCCATCCTGCAAACGTTATTCACACAGGTAGTCCTTATTTACCAGATAACGCTATTGACTTCAAAAGCACAACTTATAAGAATTATTCATGTAAGGATTCTAGGATATTGGGCTCATATATATGAGCCCAATATCCTAGAATCAATATATATATTGTAAGGCTTATGTTATAAAACTCTTCTAATTTTATTGCATTTAATACAATATAGAAGAGGGGTGAAATATGGGGTGGTTTGTAGTTGTGCTATCCGAGCAGCATCCCAAGAAAGGAATCTCTTTAGAAAAGCGCAATTCCCTCTCTCTGTTCCATAGTCCATACTAGCAGCAAACAACTACCTTCCCCATGACAGCTCCAATGTGGAGACGGTGCATTGTGGAGAATGGACCTAAGATTCTACTCTTTCCCCACTTGCTTGTGACGCAGGATAGTTGGTAGATCAGGTCAATTTTTTTGGCAAATAGTGTATTTGCCGAAAAATGCAGTTTCAGTCAACATGGAACTATTTGTAAATTTGAACCAGGCCATAGATTATTTTGGGATAGGGGCACACTCAATCTCTCCTTTTGAAGCGGTTCCTCTTCCTATAAATAATCATTGGAGCAGGGATTTAAACTTGAGTCTCCTTCACCTGAGCGAGTGTCCTAAACACCAACCTAATGACTCTGTAGTGATTCTCCTTCTCTCTGGCCAAATGACTATTCAAGTACTTAACACAAAGTGGAGGAACTTCGAAAGGAGAGGCTGAGACAAAGCCATCCCTATAGCCTGGAATAGGATGAAGCCTGGGTTCAAATGCCTGCTCCAGAGCAGGGATTCAAACCTGGCTCTCCCAATCCCAGGAGAGCACCTTAATCACTGGGACACAAGCTCTAGGGAGGTCCACCACCATCTTCTCCTCCTCCAACCATTTTCTGTATCTAGTCCTTTTAAAATGACTGGAAACAAAATGTTTCAGGTCAAACTTTTGTTTGACCCAAAACAGAATTTTTCAATTTGCCAACGTTTTTTGGCATTTCTGGATTTGGTTTGATCCAAACTGATTTTTCCACTCCTATTTTTCAGAACTGCCAAGAGAACAAAAAAATCAGGTATTTGTCCATCTCTAGTAGTGAGGACTCCTGGCCCCTTACCTCTCTGCACCTGGACCCATGGTGCAGGGAGGCAACGCAGGAATTTAAAGAAGGGTCTTACTAGCATCATTCTCATCTCCTAGTGTTTTTTTCGTAAAAAGAAAAGGAGTACTTGTGGCACCTTAGAGACTAACCAATTTATTTGAGCATGAGCTTTCGTGAGCTACAGCTCACTTCATCGTGTAACTGTTTTCTATTTCTTTCCATTCCCTGCAAATTTATTTTTTATTTTTAACGAGTTTGCTGTCAGGACTGCATTCCAGACAGTTTTTCTGGCAAATATACATAATCATTTCATTATCAAGAAAGTAAACCTTGAAACAGGAGCCAAGAATTTGGCATTGGTTTAATTTATTGTAGCAAATATGAAATTTGAAACAAGACCAACTTATTCATTTGGCTCCTGATTTATTTAATTCTCCTCCCTTATTAGTTAACTCTAATTTTAAACTATTGCCTTATTCTGAATTCCCATTCCAGAAAATCCTAATGAAATGCTGGAATATTATCATAAAATTGTCTGAATTCTTTTTTCATTCTACAAGAACTTAAAGAAACTTTTTTAAGATACAGGACAGTCTATATTTTATTTCTGACAGTTAAAGCATGTCTTTTTCTTTCAAGTGAGAACTTAACTGTATTTAATGGAGCTTCCCTGTAGAGGATGAGGAATTTTAAATATAGAGGACTGCAACTTTTAAGAAAGTCAAAATATAGGTAAGGGTTGACCTTTAATTCTACAATTCTCACCAGGATGTCACTTAGTTTCAGTTCTACAAACCGCCTCAGTCCGCAGGCACAACCATCACTGATGTCAATGATGTGACTGGCAGTGGTGTGTATAGATAGAAGGCGCAGTACATGGACATTACAATTTATAGCCAGATTGTGCCTATTAGGGTCTAGCCCAGGTTGCTGGCAGAGAAGAGCTGCTTTGTTCCAAGGGGCACCTCTGAAAGGCACTGGAAGCCTGATTTGCATTTACACTCAGGCCCCCACTTTACGCCACTTTGGAGCACTTAAGTGGGCATTAAGGACATTTATGCTCACTTCAAGGCCTCCTCCAATGGCCAGAATGATGTAAAGAAACTTTAGTGCAAATGAGTGTGAGGCTCATCCCTTAGAGTACAGTATGTGCTCCTCCCACTCTCCTTTGAGGTGCGTAGCCCTCCAGGGAGTGTTGAGAACAGTCTCTGTATTTAGGAGAACACAAGGACCGCAACTGTGGCTGGCTTCTATCTGGGGTTCTGCAGCAGGAGGGAAGGTCTTTGTGTCCTTCACTTTCCTTGCACATCCATGCCGGGTGCCGGCGCAGTACAAATTAAATGCAAAAAATAAAATGGTGGCAGTCAATGGAAAATAAGCAGAACAAAAATCAAAGCCCTACTGCAGAAAGAGGAAGGATGGTCCAGTGTCTAGGTCTTGGAATATCTGGGTTCAAATCCCTAATCTGCCCACAGATTTCCTGCATGGCCTTTGGCAAGTCACTTAGGGCCAGGGCTAGATAGGTATTTAAGCTCCTAAAGATGCAGATAAGTACCTAATGGGATTTCTCAAAAGCATCTACCTAGGTTCCTGTGGGCTTGTGAAAATCTCACAATGTGCCTATCTGGATCTTTAGGCACATAAATACCTTTAAATATCTGGCCCTTATTTCTATGTGTCTCAGTTCCCCACCATTAAAATGGGGAAAACAGCACTTCCCTGCCTCACATGGGTATTATGAAGATAACTAACTTAAAATTATGAGGTGCTCACAAACTATTCTGAGGGCAGAGGTCAGATAAGTACCTTAGACAGATAATCCCTGCATCCAGGCTCGGCTAGAATACTGCACCTTGGTGGCTAATAAATAATACCAGTCATTCTTTCCTGAATTATTACCTGTTTGAGACAAAAGTGGTGTATAAGGGACTTTCGGTTCTATTGCACTCATTGGTGGAGGTAGCAAGGGGTTGGCAAAGCTGCGGAGAGGGTGCGTAGGCCGGACACAGGCTGTGGGAATCGTTCTGCTTGGGGCGTCCTCATTGCTGGCATGTTCAGGCTGTGTCTGTGGCAGCATGGATGGCTGTTGTGGGACTGGTCCTTCACTCACCGCTGTAAGGGAATAATAAAATGAACTATTATTGAGATATTTTTCCAAATCCTATTTCTTACTTTTGTGATCATTTCCCAAAGAACGGGAAGTGCCAACCTTTAACCTTTGAGGAGCTCTAAGATATATGTAAACATTTTTTTTCAAAAGATATGAATACATGAATTAGAAACAAGACATTCCTAAAAGCAGCCATGTGCCAGAGTGCTGCAATAAATCTTGCTTCAAATAAAGTACAGAAAATGACATTTTTAGCTCCCTCTGTATATTTTATTTGTATACAAACTTCTTAAGTTCCCATCACTATTGGATCTAGGTGCCTTTAAATTGTAAAAATCAACCAAAATCATAAGTATATCATATGGATAGTGACACAAATCCCAGTTGCTGGAACTCATTACATTCTGCCCTATATTATTATTATAGCCATAGCTAATGAGAGTTGAAGACAAAGAAGGGACTTAATTTCTATTTAACCAAATACCAACATCATTTTTCCTTGAAACAGCGTAATATTCACTGTGCCAAAGCAGTCAGTTGCTGTTTTATTATCCTTTACTCAAAGTCAATTTTTCTGTGATTTAAACATGCCATGTCAACCTTCAAACATAAATCAAGGTTACTCTATGTTCTAGAGCGTTTCTTATAAAAGGCTCTCAAAAATTACCTCTCTCGTGAACTTTCTATGCCAGAACAGAGTTACAAACTTGACTAAAGTAATGTGAAAGAAAAATTAACAAAAAGGAAAACATTTCAGTGGATGAAATAATCTCTTTTTTTTGTCTGCTTTGTATCCAGACTGGTAATTACAACTGTTTAGGCATTTTCATCACGGTCACTGAGCAACAGCATGGCCTGTTACTGAGAATATGCACATATTGCAAATGGAACTACAGAGAAGCTGCTCAGTGATGTTTTCAAAGAACAGTGTCAGGATAAAAGAGATGCTATGTGACAGTGCCAAAGCTTCTGAACATGTTAAGGGCATTTGTATTAATACTGTCAACCGGCGCTACTCAAAGTGGTGGTCCGCGGGCCGGGGCCGGCCCCCGAGCCATCGGCTGCCGGTCTGCGCGCACATTGGAAAAAAAATTGCTGGTCCCCCGCATCAGATAGCTTGAGAAGCACTGCTGTAAACCACTTTATTTGCACAGTCATGGGCCATGTGTGAAAGTGATAAATGCTCTGGGTTCATTTTTTTTTTTTAAACTGAAAAATTTCAGTCAAGACCCCAAACAGCTCATCCTTCTCCTATAGAAAACAATCTTCCTGACACTTAGATATCAGATCTAGTTGTTATACTGGGAATGAAAATACTCTAGAGGATCTGGTTGCTTTCAAAATCCAGAACTCATTGTCGAAATAACGTAATTACAGAGCCAAGACAAATCTCAAGGCACTTTATAATAATGAATGTCAATGTATATAAGTAATTACAACCTACTAGGTGGCAAAATTATTTTGAAAAACGGAAATGAGGGTTTTTGTTCCAGAATCCTGTTATCTGTTCCCAATGCAATATTGCAGACCTCTCCAGCAATTTGGAACTCCAGGCAGAGGAGACTAACTACAGGATGAGACCAAGGTCACAATCATTTGTAGTTTGTAAAAGTTTACTTGGATTGTAGTGAAGTTTCCTTGTCCTCACCTTCAGTGCTCTCTGAATAATGATGCCACTTCCTGGCATCTCCACTCTTCTTTCCTTCCACTCCCTTGCTATGTGCACCCTTTCTACTCTTCTTTCCTGACTGTTCTCTTTGGACTAGGATTTGACTTTGACCACATGCCAGTGCAGGAGAGTAAAAACACCCTTTAAATCTCTGACTTGGTGCACAGAGGTAAACTAGTGCTGTGGGAGCAGGCTGGGAAATAGTAGGGACAGAGAATGGGTGGAATGTTGGCTCCATCTCTACTACCTGCTGGCCAAGGAGAAACTGGAGAATCGTGACTCAAAGGTATGTGTCTCAGTGGCAAGGTCTTTGAGGGTGACTCCTCACTCACAGCGGTGCTTAAAGGAAAAAAATCCAGCCTTTTGTCTCTTTCTCCTGCTCTTGGCCTCACATTTTCTTTCATGATATTAGGAACAGCCTGCTTCTTCTACTGTGCCCAAGGCTATCATGTCCTTCAAATCCACTTCTTTTGGGAGTCTGCTGGCTCGCATGCACAGACAGGAGAGAACAGGCACATATTGCTAACCTCCACTGACCTGCCTGATATCTTCTGAGTTTATGATCTCAGAGAGAAAAACTTGATCAGCTGGCACCTGCAGTGTAGAGAGTGATATTTTTAACATTAGATTAATGGGCATTAGATATAGTTCCTGAGAAAGTTTTTGTATAAATCCAAGTGGGCTAGAAATGAAAGATGGTGATGGATATTGGAAGGGAAGCACAGTTGTAAAATCTGAAGACTACAATAACTTTTATTATACAAAAAACTTGATGGGGTTGAGCACTCCATCTACAATTGAAGGCAAGGATTCCATAAAAATTAGAAGGTTAAACTGGGCTGTAAATATTGAAAGTAAGTTGTCTGAGGAAGATGTCTAGTATTTGAGAAGGGAGTTTTAAAACAATAAAACGTACATGCTTGAAAAACTAATGAGAGCCATCAATTCACAGTTAGTTCAGGTTCCTGAGGGAATGGAAGATGGAAGCTCTGAAAGTTTATTTAAATAATGGATGAAGATGAGTCCGTTGCTGGTACCACATGATCCAGTTACCTCAATTTCCAACTTAGAAGCTAGACATTTGTCCTTATGAAACTCAGCATGGATGTCTAATTCCAGAAGAATTCTGATTACTTGAACAGATATTGTAGTTAAAAAATAAGATTTTAATGGAAGCTAGGCTCTCAGACAACCCTGAATATGAAAATCATTGTAGTGGGTCCCAACTTTCCTCACTGCTGAAGTTAAGAGCTTTGACAAGGTAAAAAAAAATTGCTGTACCTTGGCACCTGATCCAAATCCCAATGAAACCAATAGGAGAGCCTTCCACCGATTTCTAGGGGCTTTGGATCAGGCCCTAACTGTATGATGTCAGATGTATGAATTGTTCATTGCACATTTTTTACTGAGTGATATCTTTGAGAAGGACTCCCACTTTGAATGTGGCTGTTTGCCCCACTTTGACATGAGATAAGCCCGGGCTATCCAGCGTATGTTTAAACATGAATGGCCATCATGACCCAGAGGATGACCACGGTATCAGACTGGGATTTAGGAGGTGTGAGTTTTATTCCTAGCTCTGTATGACCCTGGGCTGCACTTCTCTGTGTTTCTGTTCCCCCTCCCATCCGTTGTCTGTCTTTTCTACTTAGATTATAAACCCTTTGGGGACAGGTTCTAGCTATTTGTATAGCACCTACACAATATGGCCATCATTTCAGTTAGGGCCTCTGGATTTATTGTTATCCAAATAAGAATAATAAATTTGCTAAAACATCAGTTTTATTCTCAGGTGAGAAGTTTAGGCATTTATATTTATATTCTTGGGGAAAAGGTGGTGTGGGTGTTGGTTTTTGGTTTTGTCTTATTTTTTTTTTTTGCATTTGCAAGAATAAGACCAAATCCAGCTTCACTGAAGTCAATAGAAATATTTCTGAAGTCATTTATGATGGACCCCCAAATAATTCATTTCTGAAAAAAATTACCTTTAAAGCTATTTTTCTTACTCATCCAGTCGATAAAGAACAAATATAGAAAATGAGGGAGAAAGAAGAGCCTCAGTCAAAACTCAAGGATTGGGCCCACAGTTACATTGGGTCATGTCACACCATCATTTGTACGTGCAACAGTCCCCAATGAAATCACAGAGAAGGCCTGCCTAAAATAGAAGGCATGATATAGCCCAGTATTAAAGTATCCTTTCTCTCCTCTCTTAAAAAAACTGGTTAAACTGAAATATCAGCGATTCAGCTTAACAATACTTCCTACCTAAAATCCCAGAATTAAATATTCACTGTTACAGTTAGCTCCAAGAGGAAACACTGTCAAGAAATAAGATTTATTTTAATTAAAAAATGAGTATAATTCACTTTTGCACTTTGAGGTGAAGCTATTTTAGTTCCTTGCTAATCACGTATTGTTACCTCAAAATGGTGAGGACTGTTTCTTTCTTTCTTTCTTTTTCTTCTTTTCTTTAGTTTTTTGTTTGGTTGGTTTTGGTTTTACAACTAACAATCTTGCCTTTACTCATATTTTCATATTACTCATATTTGGTGATGATGATCTGCCCCTTAGAAGGGAAGCTGATCTATATTGGACAAGTGGAGGCATCCATATGACCTTCAGAGTCAGCCAAGTCAGAGCACATTACAATAGCTCAACCTAGAAGTGATTAAAACGTGTTGTGGTCATGTTCACATCTGAGAGGGAAGTCTCCTGGACAGCACCATTTTGAAAACTGGAGAACAGACCTCCCCCTTGCCCCCAGTTGAGGGAGACACTGCAGCTCCTACTAGTCCTTAAAACTACTTCTTCCTGACCAGTACCACTTCAGTGTTTTTCCTAGTTGAGGATGAATCATCAGGTTTCATCCAGTTGCTCATTTCTGTCATATTCTGAGACCTCAAAGGGACAGCATTGTCTGTGCTTGATGGGGAGGAGACAAAACTGAGTGTCCTCTGCAAGTTTGATGACAGTGCAGTCCACGGCATTTCACAATCTTTCCCCGGCATCCTGAGGTACACGTTAAAGAGCTCAAAATACAGACCAGACAGATTCCTCAGGTGAAGGCTAATGGTTAGGAGGAACTGCTGCACAGAGTGAAGCCACCTTAATATGGCACTGATATATTTCCTGGGAGCAAGGATAGAAAAGCAAATGTATAATAATTGGCTTATATAGATTTCACTGATAGTGTGAAACAGACAAGCAGATCTATTATTCCAGGAGGTTCTGGTTGAGTCTGATTTAGCCCTTCATTTTTTTTTTAAATTTTCTTTTCAGTAGAAGATGAACGGTAAAACTTGGCTTAAGGAAGATTTTCAATATTGGAAGCTTTGAGGTCAACCATGAAGAGTTTCAGGAACAGAAAGAGGTGTTGGAGCATGGTCCACTTGGCAGAATGCACAGCAACACCCTCCCTAATGACATTGCACAGGATGTATTCAAAGATTGCTACCTCCTGATCAATAGCACGTTCAGCCATGCAGTACAGTAGGTAGAATTCACTGCAAAGGAATTACGGCAGTGCATGTATTTTATTTTTTTAAAACTTTTACTGCAATGGGGCAAGAATATCATGGCTTTTTCACTGTGTAGTTCAAATGGATACAAACCTACCTTATGCACCTTCCCTAGTATGATCTTCAATTGTCATTCACTGTCAAGAAAACCCCACATGATCAGATGAAGACAAAGAAGTGGGTATGACTGAGTCAGAATCCTAGAATAATTTTGCTGAAACCAATTTCTGCAGAAGAGAAGCCGTATGGGAGACCTGGTAAGGTGATCCAAACATAAAGCAGACGCTCCAGCTGCTTTTTAATGTTGTCTGCTGGCCGAGCGTGTGGGAGGGAAATGTGAAACAAGGAGTACAGCCTCTCTTTCATATGATGTGTTGCTGCCAGTTCCTATGTCAGTGGTGGCAGCATGAGTAGCGATAGCAGGTATGTACACACACACACACACACACACACACAAATCTATCTATCTATCTATCTATCTAGCCTCCCCTCCATTCTACTCAGGCAGAAAGCTAACCCACCATGCTGTTACAGAAAGCTAGGCAATTGCTTGGCTGGTTGTCTGCATGTCACCGATAAAACAAACAACATATATAAAAATAGTTTCTGCCTTATGGATTTTTTTGTGTATGGAGTTTTGTGGCACTTCTTTCTGTCATATTTTGCAGCTGAGTTTCCTGCATCTCTGATGGATGCTGCAGAAGTAACAATGTCTTCTTTGATTTCCCACCTGGTTTGTTGCATGTGTGGGAATTTATCCATAGATAAGAACATAAGCATGGCCGTACTGGGTCAGACCAAAGGTCCATCCAGCCCAGTACTCTGTCTGCCGACAGTGGCCAATACCAGGTGCCCCAGAGGGAGTGAATCTAACAGGTAATGATCAAGTGATCTCTCTCCTGCCATCCATCTCCACCCTCTGACAAACAGAGGCTAGGGACACCATTTCTTACCCATCCTGGCTAATATCCATTTCTGGACTTAACCTCGATGAATTTATATAGTTCTCTTTTAATAACTCTCCTCACTTCTTCTACTCTGCTGTGTAAAAGCGAAATATTTTGGCAGAAATTTTCAAGATGTCATTCTGAAAGTAGTGCCTCACAATTCCTACTGGAGAGCTGCAGAAATACCTGCTTTGGCTCAAACACTGCTGTACAGAAATGCTCAGCTGCTCTCACTGCCTGCTTCCAGTGGTGATTCCAGGGTGGGCAGGTTGGTCAGACTCAGTTCAAAAATGCATTTTTTCCCCAAGAAAAGGGTAAGCTATTGATCAGATGACTGAGGTGTGCTATGACATCCTCTGGGGAGAAGTCTGGCAAAGTGGGTGCCATGTAAAAGGATTGTTTGTGGATGGAAGCACTTGATGGGGTGAATGCTGTGAGAGGTCACAGGAGAGGTCTGGAGGTATTAGAAAAAAGATGAGGTAATGCCACAAGGAGGGCAAGATGATAGCAGCTGACCTAGCAGAGTTCAGAGACAGGAGAAAAGGGCTTTCTTTCAAAAGGAGGCAGTCATGTTTCAATCCATCGTGATGGAGGCCATCTACAAGATATGGGGGAAAGGACACCAGCCTCCTGACGAGTGCTCTTCAGGGGAGTGTCGAGTTTGTGCATGCCCTACTTTGTGTTATACTGCTGACAATTTATTAAATATATAATCCCTTGTGAAATGTACCATGCAATATACTTATGAAATGTACGGTCCCTGCTCCACATTGCTCCTGTGAACACTATTGCAGTGCCTATCAGAGGTGCAATTGCCCATGCATTCACATTTTGTTCAACTTTCCAGGATAAAGACTACACATTCCAATCTGTCAATCTTCTCTTCCATCTCCATGGGTAGGCAGAATCTAACACCTTGTAATGTGAAGTTAAAATTCTCCCTCCAAGTCGGGTGTCCATACATCACCGAGCTGTGCTTCCGTGTGTTAAATCTGTGATTATTTCGGGGTGAGGGAGGTCTATATTCTCAGAAACATCCAGCCAGAGTTAGTCACGCCCTCCAGAGGCAACTACCACCTACCCTTGTATTGGACCCAGTCATTGTAGGGGAAGAAGGTGACAATGATACTGGGTTCATGGATAGAACATCTAGGCCCACAGTCTACCCACAAGCCTTCTACTGAAATGTCAATTGCCAGTCCCTCTGGGCCTGACCATAATGACTGAAAGCAAAAATCAAACAGGATAAAAACCACCCATGGAATTTATTCTCCATGAACTAGCTGCACAGACTGCCAGGAATATGAAAAATGTGTGTGATAGATTGACATAAATATGTCAATAATTCATACCGAAGAGTAGAATAAAGTTAAGAGGGAATTATAAGAAAATATGAGCCCTCCAGCTATGATAATTAGCATGCAAAAGCATGGTCATAGGCTAGAACATATGGCCCATGATGTTAGGACTGCTTATTTAAAAATAAAGTGTGAAGGTGAGGCTGAAGGACAACTGTTGTGTGCATATGCTTTCCAAAGAGCATTATAAACTGTGAAGTGAGTACAGGACAAAAAGACCCCAATCTATTTCTCTAAAGAATATAAGTCTGGTAAATGTATGCCAAGGCAAGCAGTGTGGGCTAGTGGAGAGTGCAATAGTCTGGAACTCAGGAAACATGGATTCTATTCCTGGCTCTGCCATTAGCCTTCTGGGTGACCTTGCACAAGTCATTTCAACTCTGTGTGCCCCAGTTTTCCCATCTGTAAAATGGCAATAATGATACTGACCTACTTTGTAAAGTGCTTTGAGATTTACTGATGAAAAGTGCTATATAAGAGCTAGGTGTTATTATTTCATGCAAGACTGTTATATCCTTCCTGAAGTGTCCATATGTGGTAATATCTTTGTGGAAGATGCCATAGAAGGCAGTTTAAACTAAAGTGAGAGGATGAGGGGGCAAAGGATGGTATGAGATGCCTGAGTCTAAGAAATGCTGCTCTGTCAAACCATCAGGGACAAAGGGGCAAGCTGGTAAAGTATGCATTCTCCAGAACAGTACAAGATTTCTTCCAAGTTTAATGGCATGACTTGGACCTATCTACATAACTTGGTGCAGAGTTTAAGGCTAGATACATTATGCAGATTGGTTTTTTTTTATTTTGATCCAATTCTCTTTCAATTCTTAATAAATCTCATTTTGGTACAAACCAAAGGGTCTTAAAACTTTGGGGGATTTGAAACAGATGATCCTGAATAGGTGCAACAACTTTCAACCTCTAAGAAGAGATGTGAAGCAAAGCTGTCTGGTGTCGCCCCTGATCAGTATTCTCAGTCCACCTGGTACAAACTAACGAGCTCTCTACCATAATGTTTTGATCCTCCAAATGCACAAGAATGCCTAATTAAACACAGATGAACACTGAGTTTAAGGAGTATATGATGACAGTGTTTTATAAGGAGCAAGTCTGCTGGTAAGAAAATATTAGTGCAATTTTGGCAAACCTGGGTTTAATATAGAGAATGCTGGGTGGGATTTTGAAGACCAATCAACATTGGCTGAATTCCGTTCCCATTGAAATCAATGAAAATGTTTCTACTGATGGCAATGTGAATTTTGACATTGATTTTGAGTTAGACCAGGATGGAGTGCTTTTTGAAAATGCAACCCACAATGTATTCTTTTTATATTGTCTACTGGTTAACTTTGAGAAGAAGAAATTAACTGCAAAGACCGCATGTATTCTTACTACACTTCAGAATAATACTGTACTACACAACTTCAGATATTTTCCTTTTTAGTACTGGCTCATACCAGAAAACATTCAGAGGAACCCAGTCACGAGGTGAGATGTCATTTTGTTCAAATGAATGTGTACACAAACTCTAAGCTAGTTATAAGCCTTCCTTTACAGTATACTGTCCTCCTGAAAAGAAAATAATACTGTGTTTGCCATTTCATAGATTCATAGATTCTGAGACCACAAAGGACCCATTCTGATCATCTAGTCTGATCTACTGCAGGCCACAGAACTTTCCCAAAATTATTCCAGTTTGCACGAGAACCGATCTTTTAGAAAAGCAGCCAATCTTGATTTAAAATTTGTCAGTGATGGAAAATCCAACACAACCCTTGTTCCAATGATTAATTACCCTCACTACTAAAAATGTATGCCTTATTTCCAGTCTAAACACCACTTCAAAACACTTCATCAGAGAACAAACATCAAAATAAAAGGTAAGGCATTGTACTGACTTCTTCCTGTTCCAAAGGTTCGGTCAACAGAGAGTGTTGGGAATGGCACGGGCCGGAGGGTGAACTGCGGGTGTGGATATCCACATGTTGGCGATGGCAGAATTCCTGGGTACTGGGCACTTTCTAGTGTTGGCACTGGGATGGCACTGACAACAGCTGAAAAGAGAGAGAAGGAGAAAGAGAATTAAAGATCTCTTAACATTTGTAGAAAGTTAAAAATAAATGGATGGATCTCGCAGAAAACTACAAATGGCCACATTTCCAAAGCAGGTGCCTAAATTGCAGCCACAAAATATGTATTTTGTACAGTGCCTGATACAGTGGGGTCCTGATCCATGACTAGGACTCCTAAATGCTATGGTAATATAAATAATAGATAAATAAATAAACAAACATTTTATAAATAAACAAAATAAATATAATAAAGTATAAAGTATAAATATAATAAAGTATAATAAAGTATATAATAAAGTATAAAGTATAAAGTATAAATATAATAAAGTATAATAAATATAATAAAGTATAAATAAATAAACAAAAAGCATTTTCAAAAACAATGTGTGTATGCTCTTTATAGACAAACCAACACACATACATACACCACATTTGTATACAGAAATAGGCATGTTTCATGTGACTGGGATATTTTCACATATAAAAAGCCGCTTTTATGTATGAAACTATCTGCACATATAAATGCCTGTTTCAAGGGTGCAAATTAGGCAGACAAGTTTGAATATTTTCCTGTTAAGTGACAAATATTTGAAATGGAAATAGATGAATCAAGGCTCCAAGAGCCAGGATATAATCTTAGTGACTCTACTAAAGTTATTCCTGATTTACACCAGTGTAACTGAGATTGGCCTTACTTCCTCAGTGCTTGGCTACACTTATATTTTATAGCGCTCTAACTTGCTGGCTCAGGGGTGTGAAAAATCACCCCGCTGAGCACAGCAAGTCAGACCGCTTTAAAGCGCGAGTGTAAACAGGCTCCAAGTGCTGGGAGCTGTGCTCCCAGTGGTCGGAGCTAATCCCCTCCTGGAGGTGGATTATCAGGAGCGGTGGGAGAGCTCTCTCCCGGCGCTCGCACGCGACCACACTCGCACTTCAAAGCGCTGCTGTGGGAGCGTTCCCACAGCAGCGTTTTGAAGTTTCCAGTGTAGCCATGGCCTCAGTGTGTACATTTAACTCTGAGTGTTCTAATGGGAATTACAACCAAGAAAGAGAGGAAAGAGAAACAATGCATTATGCAAATTAATCACCTGAACATTTAAGGCTTCTCCAAAGCATATGAACCATTTTGGTTTGGAAACTGGCTCAAAATCTAATGAAATCAGGATTTCTTGTGAGTGAGTTCCAGTATGTTCTGGTTTTGAACAATCCAGGAATAAACAACCAATAACAAAAACAATGGGCCAAATTCTGAATTCCTTTACCGGTTTTTATGCACTTCTTACTCAGGGAAACTCCCATTGACTTTAACAAAAGTTTTGCCTGAGTAAACACTGAGTAGTAACTTCAGGATTTGCCCCAATGATGATATTTTTGGCTTATGTAGCACTTTTAACACGTGAATTGCAAACAATATAATAAATATTAAAGTAGACATTATTATTACTTCTAGCCCATATTAAATCCACCACACAGAGTTGTAAACTGGGCAATTTGCCCAAGGTCACACAAAGAGTCAGTAATTGGGCCAAAGCTTATTCCTTATTACATCTTTAAGCACTAAACAACACAGTCTTTGTTGGGCATTTCTGTACTTCCAGAGGAAAACGGGAGGTGTAGAACCGCACAAAACTTTTATTAAGAAATGATAATCGTAATATTTTGAACGTTCAAAATGTCTAGGTTCAATTTACCCATCCTCAGAATAGAAATCTTACTATTCAAAGATTTAATTTTATCTGTGGAAATCATTTTATTCACACTTTTAAAAGGTTAAATAATAGTCTTCCTGTTTGTAACATTGTTAATGCACTGCAAAAACAATCATTCTGTATTGAGTCATAAAAAATCCAACACATTTATTGAAGGCCATCCCTTCATTCTTCTCCAAGATATAAGTAATAAGAATAAAAAAAAATCAGAGTATTCACTGTAATATTATATTTATGTAGAGAAGCTAAGGGAAAAGATAGCTTCAAGCATTTTCAAAAAGTCTCTGCAATATGACAAGAAATTTGTTCTGACATAGCCTAACAAGAGTTGAATTTGTATTTGATATGGATGCTTTAGGAGTTTGAAAGCAGAAATTCCCTTACCAGATTTTGGAGCTCCCTGATCACTGCCCTTCTGCGTCAAAAATTTTCAATATGTCCTATAAACATGTAATCTAAGTATGGCTTATTGAATTTACAAAGTAGAGATTCCAAAGCTGTGCTCAGTAGCCCAAAGTCCACAGATGTTGCCAAACATAATATCAACATGATTTTTTTTTTTTAAGTATGTTTTCCCAAGTTGTGGAAACAGTGATAATAAACCCCCAAAAGTGATTCATTCTATGAGCATATTTCTTCCTCACACAGATGTATTATAAAAAATAAATATACTGGAATTCTGTAGGTAAATCACAAGAACATAAAACTAAGTAGTCAAAATTTTTCTACCTCCTTTTTAAAAATCTGTCCTTATATAATGATACACTCTTATCAAGTTATTTGTTATCTCAGCACCTACCCTATTATAACATTTTGACTAAGCCAATCAGAAAATGGAAAATCTGCTGTGTTGATGCTAAGAAGGAGCACAGGTCTTTCACCAGTAGATAACACTCTGAATTCAACTGTCCTGTTTTCCAAGATTTTACTCCATAATTTGTCACCATTTTGATACAACAAATTGTGATATAGCCTCCTGCACAAACAGACTTGGGATCGAAATCCAGATCTTTGATTTTAAATGCTTGGGGAGAAGGAAGGTGTTTAGGACTATGTATCATCAGCTAGATTTCAGCCTCTTTTCTGGTTTTCAGCTCAGCTCTCAGCTCTTTGATCTGAGTATTTGACATCAATTGTGTTAGTTATGAATTGGAAACAGTGCTCTGAATTGTTTTTCAATTTTGTCCTTGTGTGCGTCCAGGTCTTCGTTATTAATGAGATCAAGCCAGATTTCCACTGAGACTGTGACTTTAGCATCATTGGACTGTAATCTGCCAAGACCCTATGAAACCCCCTTCAATTGCTTTATCAAGTTTAGTGCCTTCCTGTGAAGGAATTTAGAGACTTAAGAGTATCACAATGGCTACATTTCAATAACGATGATGGCCTCAAACAGTCTCACTTGTAGCATCATGAAACTCACCAATGTTTTTCCCTTTCACATCAATACAAAAAGTTTCATTCAACAGCTCATTTGATCCTGAAGAACCCAAATAAACTGATTTTCTGTGCTTTTTAAGATCAGCTTAAATCACATCTATTTTGTCACTTAACAATGCCAATGTGTTTATTTTACTTCAGAATAATTACCTCTTTTGATTTCTTCAGTCCTTTCTATAGCTTATTTCCTATCACTTTTAATGTTTGGCACATTGAGTCAGATAAATTAAAAAAAATACGATAAAGCCCCTCAAAAACATACCGCTTTTATTTTATGGAGAAAGAAACAGGTTTTTTACAACCCAGCCTAAAAAGTTCACAAATTAGACCTAAATCATAGAATCATAGAATATCAGGGTTGGAAGGGACCCCAGAAGGTCATCTAGTCCAACCCCCTGCTCGAAGCAGGACCAATTCCCAGTTAAATCATCCCAGCCAGGGCTTTGTCAAGCCTGACCTTAAAAACCTCTAAGGAAGGAGATTCTACCACCTCCCTAGGTAACGCATTCCAGTGTTTCACCACCCTCTTAGTGAAAAAGTTTTTCCTAATATCCAATCTAAACCTCCCCCACTGCAGCTTGAGACCATTACTCCTCGTTCTGTCATCTGATACCATTGAGAACAGTCTAGAGCCATCCTCTTTGGAACCCCCTTTCAGGTAGTTGAAAGCAGCTATCAAATCCCCCCTCATTCTTCTCTTCTGCAGGCTAAACAATCCCAGCTCCCTCAGCCTCTCCTCATAACTCATGTGTTCCAGACCCCTAATCATTTTTGTTGCCCTTCGCTGGACTCTCTCCAATTTATCCACATCCTTCCTGAAGTGTGGGGCCCAAAACTGGACACAGTACTCCAGATGAGGCCTCACCAATGTCGAATAGAGGGGAACGATCACGTCCCTCGATCTGCTCGCTATGCCCCTACTTATACATCCCAAAATGCCATTGGCCTTCTTGGCAACAAGGGCACACTGCTGACTCATATCCAGCTTCTCGTCCACTGTCACCCCTAGGTCCTTTTCCGCAGAACTGCTGCCTAGCCATTCGGTCCCTAGTCTGTAGCTGTGCATTGGGTTCTTCCGTCCTAAGTGCAGGACCCTGCACTTATCCTTATTGAACTTCATCAGATTTCTTTTGGCCCAATCCTCCAATTTGTCTAGGTCCTTCTGTATCCTATCCCTCCCCTCCAGCGTATCTACCACTCCTCCCAGTTTAGTATCATCCGCAAATTTGCTGAGAGTGCAATCCACACCATCCTCCAGATCATTTATGAAGATATTGAACAAAACCGGCCCCAGGACCGACCCTTGGGGCACTCCACTTGATACCGGCTGCCAACTAGACATGGAGCCATTGATAACTACCTGTTGAGCCCGACAATCTAGCCAGCTTTCTACCCACCTTGTAGTGCATTCATCCAGCCCATACTTCCTTAACTTGCTGACAAGAATACTGTGGGAGACCGTGTCAAAAGCTTTGCTAAAGTCAAGAAACAATACATCCACTGCTTTCCCTTCATCCACAGAACCAGTAATCTCATCATAGAAGGCGATTAGATTGGTCAGGCATGGCCTTCCCTTGGTGAATCCATGCTGGCTGTTCCTGATCACTTTCCTCTCATGCAAGTGCTTCAGGATTGATTCTTTGAGGACCTGCTCCATGATTTTTCCAGGGACTGAAGTGAGGCTGACTGGCCTGTAGTTCCCAATGTGAGATCAATTTCTCCCCCGCCCCCATGTATCATTATATAATCTCTCTATTAGACATATACTAGTGGGAATAGGATACAGATAGAAAACAGAACCTCACCCTTCTAAAACTATTTATGATTTGATCCTAAAAAACCCAACAGCACATTTATCCATATACACTGACCTATAAAGCGGACTGATTTTACTTATACCGGTATTGTCCCATTGCAATTATAATGAGTTTGATTCTGATCTTGCCTACAACACGTCGACATCAGTGTAATTCCACTGCCCTTATTCATATCTCCCTTGTATCAGGTAAATCAGGAGTAATGCTACTGCAGCTAGTGCAGTTATTGCAGTGTCAGTCTAGTGTGAGAAAGAGGATTATCAGGCCCATCAACATCAGAGATGTGACTTCTGATTTTCTCTGAAGTAAATGAGATCAGAATCCAACCCACTGAATCTTTATCCTGTGCATTCTCCAATATTTTTTACGTTTACAACTCCCCTTAGGGAAAGTATGTCAGGCCGGAATGTCAAAGTGTGCATGTGACCGCGTTATCTACAAGTGGATACAGCCTAAAAAGGAGAAAGGTCCCAAGAATGATTTTTGCCTCTGTATATTTAAGTACTTCCTTACCTTAAAGTACAAGTTGTTCCATTGACATCAGTGGGACTGCTCATGTGCTTAAAGTTAAGCACCTGTGTAATGGATTGCTGGATCAGGGCCTTATAGATTACTGGTAATGTAACATATACCAAATAATGTCTAGATTTAATATGTGTTGCGCAGTTCTTTGAAACCAAGGGATTCTTTCCAGAGATAAACATCTCCATCCTGTAGTCCATGTTGAGAATCACACTGCACAGTAATGCATAAAGAATGAGGAGAACTTGTGGCACCTTAGAGACTAACAAATTGATTTGGGTATAAGCTTTCGTGGGCTAAAACCCACTTCATCAGATGCATGGAGTGGAAAATACAGTAGGAAGTCTATTATTGAGTGTCCAGGTTAGTGTTTTTGTTGTGTGATGTGTAGTTGCTTGTGAGTATTTGCATCAGGTTGGGGGGCTGTCTGTAAGCGAGGACTGGCCTGTCTCCCAAGGTCTGTGAGACTGATGGATCATCCTTCAGGATAGGTCTACAACCTATCCTGAGGGACGATCCCTTACCCTCACAGACCTTGTGTCCCCAAGTACTGTACACATAGGAAATGTACACATAGGAAATGTGTGGTCTAGTGGTTAGAGCAGTGGACTGGGAAGTTAGGACTTCTTGATTCTATTCCCACCTACTGAATCATTGTGAAGCCTTGGGAAACCATGGTTTACTCCTTTGTAAAATGTGGCTAGTGCTATTTACCGTAGTTGTGTTATGAGGTTTAATTAATTAATATTTGTAAGATACTTTGCAGTCCTCAAATGGAAGAAACTCTAGATGCACTATTGTTCTCACATACAATTGTAAGAGGGAGTAAGAGATGCGCTACTCACGAGGGTTGTTTGGTTGTGAATCCATCGGAATCATGAGCTTGGCACGAGTGGCTCTGCGGGCAGCAAGCGAGCGCTCTAACGTGGACATGCTACTTCCCACATCCTCCGTGTCAGGACCTAGTGAAAAGCAACACAGTGGCTATGTTAATAACGGCTAAACACCAAACTGTTTCCCTCTTTACCATATGTCTTGCAGTAAAGTGGATGGATATTTTTTCAGACATCTATCATTAAAACCGGTCACTTAAATGGTATCATCTCCTAAGTGTTCTGCACAGACTACTTTGGACACCATTCCTGAATAAAATGGTTGTTTCTCATTTTCTTACAACTGTCTTTAAATGTAAATTTCTCCCTTTACAATCACATCCTGGTTTAACTCCCCTTTCTCCCTGCCACTGAAACAAAAATTGCTTCATAAAAATGACACTAACCCTGTGCCTCAACATTTCTTGTTACCCACTTCCCTTAAAGTTCAAACAAAGTATCATGGCCAGATTTGGGTGCATAAAGTAGGACGTCTAAATCCATAATCTAGCATCTAAATAACTGGCCTTATCTGCAGAGATGCTTTATATGCACCCACCAAGTCCCAGCCGATTCAAATGATTGGCTCAGCAGCTACAAAAATCAGGCATTATACTTAGGTACAAAATATAGATGTAGGTATCTTCAGGTAGCCAAACTGAAAGTTTTAGTCCAATTATACTCATACAGAGATATTTGGTGTAACCAAAGAAGCTAGGGTAACTATCTCTGGTCACGGAGGTACCTTATTTTCCGTGGTTTGGTACAGTAATTCCCAATGAAATAGAAGATACATTTTCTGGTTCCCAGATTGTATCATATCTCATATGTATATTATATTAATGTCACATAAGTAGTTAAACTACCATGGGAAAATGAGTTTATTATCGCCATAATAACATAAATTGAGTTTATTTGGTATCTTTGAGTAGTTCACCTCCATTTTACCTACTCATCTCCACAGGGCTATTACTTTCTAAACCTCTGAGCAGCTCATAAACTTTTTTTTAAATAAGTGTCTCCACAAAACTATTTCCTTCAAATTATCTTGATTTAATTTTCAGGACTAAAATCTCAGTAACTGTTTTAAGGTCCAAAATCTAGTGATTAAATAGGGCGAGGACAATATGTTTTATTCAGTTGATATTTTAGGATTCCTAGTACTATAAAAGTATTTGTATGTGGCCTAGTTCTTTGCATGTATTTGTATCTAGCTCTTATAGCGAGGCAACTGGTGTGCTGTGACCACTGATTATCTTGGGTTTGATCCAAAGATCATTGAAGACAGTGGAAAGACTCCAGTTGATCATAATGGGCCTTGGATTAGAGTCCATGATCATCTTACTTATGAACAGATTATAAAGTCTTTGGGGCAGGGATCATTGTTTTGTTGTATGTTTGTGAAGCGCCTAGAGCAATGAAGCTGGGGCCTCTCGGTGCTAATCCAAGACAAATTAAAAAAAGAAAAAAGACAAACCACTATGTAAGAGTTCAAACCCTAAAATCCTGACAGCAACCTCTGAGTTTTAGATCATTTTAGAGGTTTGAAATCCAATTAGGTCTGCCATTTCTTTCACACTAACGCCTGTACCTCCTATGGTAGGTAAGGAATAGAGAGACACAAACCATAGTAGCAGCTGAAGAAATCTAAGCATTTACCATCATATATATCACCAAAGAATCTGAAATACTTAAAAACCTATGTGATTTTCCAGACTAACTTGCTTCTGTCACTCATGAATGATGCACCCATGCAAACTCATGCCAAATATACTTATATTTTGAATCTATATATTGCTTCTTCTTCCCCACCGCATTACATTTTATTACTGAAAAAAGTTTCTCTAACAAAAGGGGAAGCCTGTACAGTTTAAGGATAGAAAAGAAAAGCTAGGCTGTCTGTATACTACACTTAAATTGCATTCTTTGCATTAGAGTTTTTTTTCTCTCTGGACCAAATTCTGATCTCACTTACGATGGTGAAACTCTTTTTTACTGTGTTGTCTCTCTGCTCCATTTTTAATTTGATTTTTTTCCATTGTGTTCCCCCCCACACTATGTCATTCCCTTCCTCCCCCCGCCACCAATAGGTTCTCCTAAAGTGGAATGCAAACTCAGGGCTTGTCTACATGGAGACTTAGTGCATTGCAAGCCAGGAATATACAGCATGCTAGCCTGCCGTGTTCACCATGTGGAGCCTGCAACTGCACACTAAAGCAGTATAGTACACTTTGACTAGCTGGTTCATACAGTAGTGTCCTCATGACCAGTTTGTATGTGCAGGCTAGGGCACTGAAGATTTACACCCCAGCTTGCGGTGTACTAATTGACCGTGCAGACAAGCTCTCAATAACGTTTGATTTCCAGCGAAGTTCTGAGCCCATCATGAAAGAATGGAGTAGAAATCAAACATAATGCATATTCTTCTCCTGCCTCATACTGGGAATGAGGGGCGATCAACAGGTTATCTCAAGTGCTTATATACAAATGCACAAAGCCTTGGAAACAAGCAGGGAGAACTGGAGGTCCTGGTGATGTCAAAGAACTATGACGTGATCGGAATAACAGAGACTTGGTGGGATAACTCACATGACTGGAGTACTGTCATGGATGGATATAAACTGTTCAGGAAGGACAGGCAGGGCAGAAAAGGTGGGGGAGTAGCACTGTATGTAAGGGAGCAGTATGACTGCTCAGAGCTCCGGTACGAAACTGCAGAAAAACCTGAGTGTCTCTGGATTAAGTTTAGAAGTGTGTGCAACAAGAGTGATGTAGTGGTGGGAGTCTGCTATAGACCACCGGACCAGGGGGATGAGGTAGATGAGGCTTTCTTCCGGCAGCTCACGGAAGCTACTGGATCGCATGCCCTGATTCTCATGGGTGACTTTAATTTTCCTGATATCTGCTGGGAGAGCAATACAGCGGTGCATAGACAATCCAGGAAGTTTTTGGAAAGCGTAGGGGACAATTTCCTGGCGCAAGTGCTAGAGGAGCCAACTAGGGGGGGCGCTTTTCTTGACCTGCTGCTCACAAACCGGGTAGAATTAGTGGGGGAAGCAAAAGTGGATGGGAATCTGGGAGGCAGTGACCATGAGTTGGTTGAGTTCAGGATCCTGACACAGGGAAGAAAGGTAAGCAGCACGATACGGACCCTGGACTTCAGGAAAGCAGACTTCGACTCCCTCAGGGAACGGATGGCCAGGATCCCCTGGGGGACTAACTTGAAGGGGAAAGGAGTCCAGGAGAGCTGGCTGTATTTCAAGGAATCCCTGTTGAGGTTACAGGGACAAACCATCCCGATGAGTCGAAAGAATAGTAAATATGGCAGGCGACCAGCTTGGCTTAATGGTGAAATCTTAGCGGATCTTAAACATAAAAAAGAAGCTTACAAGAAGTGGAAGGTTGGACATATGACCAGGGAAGAGTATAAAAATATTGCTCGGGCATGTAGGAATGTTATCAGGAGGGCCAAATCGCACCTGGAGCTGCAGCTAGCCAGAGATGTCAAGAGTAACAAGAAGGGTTTCTTCAGGTATGTTGGCAACAAGAAGAAAGCCAAGGAATGTGTGGGCCCCTTACTGAATGAGGGAGGCAAACTAGTGACAGAGGATGTGGAAAAAGCTAATGTACTCAATGCTTTTTTTGCCTCTGTTTTCACTAACAAGGTCAGCTCCCAGACTGCTACGCTGGGCATCACAAAATGGGGAAGAGATGGCCAGCCCTCTGTGGAGATAGAGGTGGTTAGGGACTATTTAGAAAAGCTGGACGTGCACAAGTCCATGGGGCCGGACGAGTTGCATCCGAGAGTGCTGAAGGAATTGGCGGCTGTGATTGCAGAGCCATTGGCCATTATCTTTGAAAACTCGTGGCGAACGGGGGAAGTCCCGGATGACTGGAAAAAGGCTAATGTAGTGCCAATCTTTAAAAAAGGGAAGAAGGAGGATCCTGGGAACTACAGGCCAGTCAGCCTCACTTCAGTCCCTGGAAAAATCATGGAGCAGGTCCTCAAAGAATCAATCCTGAAGCACTTGCATGAGAGGAAAGTGATCAGGAACAGCCAGCATGGATTCACCAAGGGAAGGTCATGCCTGACTAATCCAATCACCTTCTATGATGAGATTACTGGTTCTGTGGATGAAGGGAAAGCAGTGGATGTATTGTTTCTTGACTTTAGCAAAGCTTTTGACACGGTCTCCCACAGTATTCTTGTCAGCAAGTTAAGGAAGTATGGGCTGGATGAATGCACTACAAGGTGGGTAGAAAGCTGGCTAGATTGTCGGGCTCAACGGGTAGTGATCAATGGCTCCATGTCTATTTGGCAGCCGGTATCAAGTGGAGTGCCCCAAGGGTCGGTCCTGGGGCCGGTTTTGTTCAATATCTTCATAAATGATCTGGAGGATGGTGTGGATTGCACTCTCAGCAAATTTGCGGATGATACTAAACTGGGAGGAGTGGTAGATACGCTGGAGGGGAGGGATAGGATACAGAAGGACCTAGACAAATTGGAGGATTGGGCCAAAAGAAATCTGATGAGGTTCAATAAGGATAAGTGCAGGGTCCTGCACTTAGGACGGAAGAACCCAATGCACAGCTACAGACTAGGGACCGAATGGCTAGGCAGCAGTTCTGCGGAAAAGGACCTAGGGGTGACAGTGGACGAGAAGCTGGATATGAGTCAGCAGTGTGCCCTTGTTGCCAAGAAGGCCAATGGCATTTTGGGATGTATAAGTAGGGGCATAGCGAGCAGATCGAGGGACGTGATCGTTCCCCTCTATTCGACATTGGTGAGGCCTCATCTGGAGTACTGTGTCCAGTTTTGGGCCCCACACTTCAGGAAGGATGTGGATAAATTGGAGAGAGTCCAGCGAAGGGCAACAAAAATGATTAGGGGTCTGGAACACATGAGTTATGAGGAGAGGCTGAGGGAGCTGGGATTGTTTAGCCTGCAGAAGAGAAGAATGAGGGGGGATTTGATAGCTGCTTTCAACTACCTGAAAGGGGTTCCAAAGAGGATGGCTCTAGACTGTTCTCAATGGTATCAGATGACAGAACGAGGAGTAATGGTCTCAAGCTGCAGTGGGGGAGGTTTAGATTGGATATTAGGAAAAACTTTTTCACTAAGAGGGTGGTGAAACACTGGAATGCGTTACCTAGGGAGGTGGTAGAATCTCCTTCCTTAGAGGTTTTTAAGGTCAGGCTTGACAAAGCCCTGGCTGGGATGATTTAACTGGGAATTGGTCCTGCTTCGAGCAGGGGGTTGGACTAGATGACCTTCTGGGGTCCCTTCCAACCCTTATATATTCTATGATTCATTATTAACTGATGCAAAGTAGCATGTCATTTTGGAAAAATGAAATGTACCTGTTCTGCAGACACTATTGAATTGCTTAATATTTGATTTCTTGAAAAATCATTCTTATCCATTAAACCAATTGGGAATATTTGATTACGATAAGCTAAAACCTTCCAATATTGTATAAAATATACTCTGCTCATCAATTGTGGGTCCAGGTGATTTTTTCCTTCCTTCAGATCTCAATTTCAACATATGTACTGCTCCATTTGCATTAGAAGCTACCCATGCAGCTAGTCACGCTGTTATATTAGACAAGAAGTATCTGCCACCATGCCCAGTCGCAGTGTTGCCAACTTTCCCAATTTTATTACAAGTCTCCTGATAATTGGTGTTTGTTAGAGCCCCAGTTGCTGGAATCTAGACTGGTTATCATCTGAGAATCCCAGATTTCATTTTTTTGTGGCTACAGAGCAAAGCTTGACAGCATGAACTCTAAATACTCCAACATCAGAAGGCAAATAAACAGAACCTAAAGTTAATTATTTTTAAATCTCGTGATTTTTTTAAACCAATCTGCGGATGGCTTGACTTGTGATTTTTGAATGCCTGGAGCTGGCAATACCACCAGAACTGTATTGGGCCTGTTAATCACTGCTGTCATTGGTGGAGGGGGCCTGCAGCAGGGGACTCCCTCAGAGGCACATTTTAGAGCAACCACCGTAGCACCCTTTACGCATGTACATTGCACATTTCCACCCCGTGTTGGCTTGATTCTGCCGGCTGCTCCCTTTGGTGGGTCTAGACTCCCCAGTCCTTATGTCTAGGAGTGCAACAATGGGAGGGTGGCAGGCCCATGTATAAGGATTATGAGCAGCCTTTTCTCTCTCAGATAAAACTGTATCCAGCTAGGCCAAATTTGGACCATAGCACCCAGATTTATTGATTTTAGGACTGACTGTGTTATTCTGCCCCCCAAAGAGACTATTTACATATCACTACAGATGCTTGAAGTTAAAAACAACTCCAGGCAGAGCTGGGACATTTCAGTGAGCACAATGGCGGTGCTGTTACCAGACTGTGAGGCACTCTTGCTGCCCAGCTGAGTTTCAGACTGGCTGTGGCTGACTGGTGTGATGTCTTGACAGCTCTGCATCGGCGAGTCTCTTCCTGAGGGGTCAGAACCTGACGGCTTTTCAATATTCTTCATCTCCATCTCTTCATGGTGTATCCAGAGGTCTGGGGGCCTCAAGTCTTTCTGGCTGCCCTTCCTTTTACCAGCACTATGGGTAGCACGCTTTCTATGGAAAAAGTCAAAATTGAAATCTAAGAAAATTGAAATCTAAGAAAATAAAAAAACCAAAAACCTTAAATATTAAGTGATCTCAGGTTACACAACAAATAAATCCAATTAGGTTTGTCCTACAAGGCTTAGGAACCAGTTATCTTGGATCTGGCTGCTATGCCTTTAGGCCTCTAGAGATAAATGTATTATTGCGATATGTTAAATCCCCAGGGCATGGGGGTAGGTACCACCACGTGTCTCACTGTCTAGCACCAGCTGCTTGCTGATCCATGAAGTGGCACTGGCATTAGTTCCAGATGAGGCCACTTGCCAAGCCCTTAGAGCTAGACATAAAGGTGTCTCACTGACAGCATATGTTTAGGAGATGAATGAAAGGGGCAAGTGAGAGGAAATACTGCTGTTTGCTCCAGGGGGTGGACTTGGGTCTCAGCAGGGTAGGTCATCTGTGCACCAGCTGATGTGCAATTGGAGAAAAATTCCTTCCAGAAACAATAGGGGAATTGTGAAGTTCCTCTTGGGAAGACTATAATTTCTGATTTAACTACATATAGCAACAACAATTGAATAGTGCAGAATATATTCCCATAGTGTCCTGCAGGCCTCATACTTTCCATAAATGGCTACAGCATACATTATATTTCTTAAAAGTATATTAAAACATTATTTTTATCACACAAAAGCTAAGAAATTCAGAGTGATATATCCCACAGCAACATTAACTTTCCTCCTTATGTATATTCATTACAATATGTTCTATCCTTACAAGACCATACAGTGTATGTACACAAAACATGCACGCACACATATTCAGAGACATATGTGCATCTGCTGTTACAGAAAACGTATGCAACTTAAATATAAATCAAGAGCTCTCTGTTGCAGCTACCTAAAAAGTTTCACTGGAGATGCATTATTTAAACTCACTTTAAGCAATCTAAAAATATGGAAAACGTGCAGCCCCTCTGTTTTATTTTTAATGGTATTAATTGCAGAACAATCTGCCTGAGCATTCACATAGCATTTTTCATCTGCAGATCTCAAAGCAGTTTACATAAACGGATAAGTATAATCCGATTTATAAGTGAGGAAAGTGAGATACACCTCGATGAGGCCAAAATTTTCAAACTTGTGTGCACATTTAGTCATCAGAAAAACAGCAGCTTGATTTTCACATGCTGAGCACTCCCAACTCTTATTCAAACTTCAGAAACAGACTTCAAAGAGAAACTGCTGAGCTATAATTCATTTGCAAACTTAACATCATCAGTTTGGGCTTGAATAGGCACTGAGAGTGGTTGGCTCACTACAAAAGAAATTTTCCCTCTCTTGGTATTGACACCTCCTCATCAATTATTGGGAGTGTACCACATCCACACTAACTAAATTGGCCTTCAACATTGATTCTTCACTTGTAAGGTAACTCCCTTCTCTTCATGTGCCAATATATATTTATGCCTGTTTCTGTAATTTTCACTCCGTGCATCTGAAGAAGTGGGTTTTTTACCCACAAAAGCTTATACCCAAATAAATCTGTTAGTCTTTAAGGTGTCACCGGACACCTCGTTGTTTTTGTGGATACAGACTAACATGGCTACCCCTCTGATACCAACTCCTGTTGAGCCACACAAGCTATTCATGCCAAAATGCACTTTATACATCTACCGAGTCATCACAGGCCTGACTGAAAGACCATTGAGCCAGGAACTCCTGAGTTCTAATTCTGCTCTGCCATTTATTTACTTGATCAAGTTGCAATCAATAAAACATTTACTTACTGCAACTATCTCGCATGGGAGTCATGAACATTCATTTGTTTGTAAAGTGCTTTGAAGATATATGGTGCAACTACTATTAAATCTTAAATGTCTTTTTGGTAATTGAATTAAAAATTAAGATGTACTACTCTTTACTTTTAAACTTTGCAATACACACAGACAGAGTATGGTATTATACAGTACACCTTGTGGAATTCACTAAGACACAGTACACGTTGAATCTTTTAAGAACGCTCTTTCCACTTTGCTGAAACATTGCCTTTTGTTATGCAGACACTATCCTAACCAGCTTGGATGAGGCAAATAAGTGAAGACATAGCTGATAACTCATTAGCATCAGACCTTGGAAAGGATGTTTTGTCCCCTGCAGGAGAACAGCTTTTTGTCTCTGATTTAAACCAATTACTGTACCATATCATAAGTCTTCCAGCAGATAGGGATTCTATCTCCCAGCAGCTGTAGACAAATAAATAGAAGAGAAGCTCAATGAAGCCTTTTGCAATTCACCCCATTTGCCCTGACAGCATCATACATATAACACTTGTCTGCACTTTTGTTTTTGTAACAGGCTACAGTAAAAGGAATGCAGCTGATATAAAGGTGCTAGTAAGAAAAAAATCTCTTTACAAATGAGAAGTGATTTCACTTTCAGCTCAGTTATTTCCTTCAGGTTACCATGAAAGGAGTGGAAATGACACGTCTTCCCTACCACCATTCACACCACCAACAAATGCAACCTAATGCCTGGCAGGCAAGAGTCAAAAACATAAGATGCAGCTAATGAGCAATGTCAAGGTGGGAGATGCAAGAGAGAAAGGAAAAAAGCAGAAGACATATCCCAAGAGAAAACTGCAGAGACATACTGAGGATGTCTAGTGGCTGCTGACTTATTCGCCTGAACTTTATTTTACTTTCTTTAAGTCTCCACCTAGCTTCTCCTATCTCTGTACACATTTGCTACCATCAGTTATAATAGTACCTTGCCGGTAATCTTTATTTATTTCTCATATTTTTCCTTTACCCACTTCAGATGCCTAACGTCATATTCTCTACCTGACAACTTCTGAAGGACAACCTCCTATTAGCTAGCTGCTGTGCTCTGGAGTGGCTTAGGAACAGAGGATTTACCTAACTGGATCAGAGTAGAGGTCCACCTATACCAGTACCTTGCTTCTTGCAGTGGCCAGTACCTGAGTTTTTTGAACTTCTCAGGTTTTAATTTACATTGCACATGTGAGATTTCATGGTTTTAGCTTGCTGCAAAGGCCATTAATAAGCATTATATTATACAATCTAAGCACAATGTCGTTTACCATCCAATCCTGACAAACTCCTGCAGCAGTGAAGTTCATGGATTGGCTATATACTGCATAAAGTAGAATCACAAACACATAGGGCTGGAAGGAACCTCAAGATGTCATCTATTTAATCTCTCTATGCTGAGGCAGGATTAAGCATATCTAGACAATCAGTGCCAGATATTTGTCTAACCTGTTCTTAAAAATATCCCGTGATGGGGATTCCATAACTTGTGCTTAACTATCCTTATTGTTAGAAAGTTTTTCTTAATATGTAACCTAAAGTCCTTCAATGCAAACAAAGCTGATTATTTTTTGTCCTACCCTCGGTGGACATGGAGAACAATTGATCACTGTCCTCTTTATTACAACCTTTTCCATTTGTGAAGACTGTTACCATGTCCCCCGAAAGCCTTCCCTGGTCTAGTCTAAACATGGCCAATTCTTTTAACCTTTAGTCCTAGGTCATATTTTTAATATCTTTAATTTTCTCTCTATTTACTGCCCTTTACTTTATGTAATTTTGTCTCATTGTTTACTTGTACTCCTCCATCTGTCTCTCCACCTGTTGTCTCTTGTCTTATACATAGATTGTAAGGTTTTTGGGGCAGAGACCATATTTTTGAACTGTAGGTACGACGGAACAACGTAAACCTGACCTCTTAATCGTCCCACTTTCCTGCTTTTTATAGAGGTCGAAATTACCGGAAAGCTAGTATGGCTGATACATTATTCCTCCCTGAAGTCACAGACAGAAAATAGCTATTAGGTTTCCTAATCCATCCCTCTGTCAGTACAGTGTTTTCCTACAGTCTATTTCATAGTGCTTTGCCCACTCATGTTTTAAGTGCCTCAAGGATGGCCTTCCCTGCTCTTGGGAGATTACTGTACACTACAGTATTAAAAACTTTCATTGTTAGGAAGGTTTCGCTCATAGTCAACATGAATCAACCTTTTCTTGATGTCATCTCATTCACAGGTTTTGAAACTTACATGTGATTTTAAAATCAGAGGCAAGTCCACATTGGAAGCTGGATCTAAAACCCCTTGTTTCAGTTTAGGTATCTCTTCATAATGGTCTGAACAAGAGGCTCCAACAACCTTAAATTTGAGGAAGTTTGGCTTCTGACTTTTGAATTCTGGACCTCGAGCCTGAATTTACTTGTTTATTTATTTATTTTTATGTGATGACTTTCCCCCTTCTCCCACACTTTCAGGATAAAAGGTTTGGTTTTGGTTAACACAGTCTCCACATCCTCCAATCTCTTTTACACAGTAGCAATCCAATAAGAGCTTTCGGCAGTGTTCAAAGCCCATCGCAGTCAACAGAAAGGCTCCCATTGTCTTGCATGGGCTTCGGGGCCAGACTTTTCAAGAGCAAGGAACCCACAGTTGAAGTGGATTGTCAAAATAACTCAGCATTCAACATGTTGAGCTCTTCTAAAAACCTGGACACTTATTTTGGTGTCTAAATAGGGACTGATTTTTTTTGAAAATCAGCCTTGAGTGTAGGTACTAAATTCTTTTGGAAATTTGGCTCCCAGTTACTATATTATACTATAAACTCCCCTGCCTCTGAGCTTGATAAGTCAAAGCTAATTTCAGCAGACGGTGAAACAATTTAGTCACATAAGAATGGCCATATTGGATCAGACCAAAGGTCCATCTAGCCCAGTGTCCTGTCTTCCGACAGCGGCCAGTCGCAGATGCCTCAGAGGGAATGAACAGAACAGATAATCATCAGGTAATCTATTCCTTGTTGCCTCTGGAAAACAGAGACTAAGGACACCTACCCTGTCCATGACCATCCTTTTGTTGCTCGCACTCTTTTTCAAGCATCAACAAAAATCAATGCAATAGACTTTTGACTTGCACTTAGACTAACTATTTGTCATCCTCATACGCAAAACATGATTAAACTTTATATCAAAAAGTTCATTATTTCACAATAGTATAATTACTGTATAATTCTGAATCAATTAACTGGTAAAATCCAGCTCGGTGGCAAATTAGGTGACTCCAGTGGAATATCTTCTTCTTATACCAGGGCCAGATGTCACCTTTAACTTTCTGGGACTAGAGCACCCACGGAAAAAAATAGAGCACCCACCGCCAGCCTCCCCAATCAACTCCTCCTCCTCCTCACAGCACCTCATGACCGTTGGTGGGCCCTGCTGATCAGCTCCTCCCGCTCCCTCCCAGTGCTTCCTGCCCACTGCAGTCAGCTGTTCAGTGGCATGCAGAAGGAGCGAGGAGGGGGTGCACTCTGGGGAGGGGGGCTGGAATGGGGCGGGAGCGGGCAGGGGTGGGAAGAGATGGGGCAAGGGTGGGGACTTGGGGGAATGGGTGAAGTGGGAGGCGGGGCCTTGGGCAGAGCGGAGCTTGAGCATACCCCGGCAACTTGGAAAGATGCCACCTCTGGTGCACCCTATACTGTCCCTTTAAAATATATGAAAATGGTCTCAAATGGTCTCAGTGTTGTTTTCTGGCATTTTTTACATATATATGAATAACAGGAACAACAGATGTTAACTTTCTTTTGCAGGACAAAAGCCTCACAACAGGCTGAAAACTGAGCCTGAACTTCTCCATTTTTCAGCTGAATGGGGAGAGGAAGTCAAGTCAGGCAGTCTGGTACCTAGAAGGCATTATCAGGCATGCAGACAGATCACATTTTTCCTTAAATCAATGGAATTGATTCTTCCCCCTGTTTGATTGAACAGAGATGGGGTGGGCCATGAGGGGGCTGGGTCTGGCTGTCTGATTCTGAGAAGCAGCCCTCGGCCCCAATAAATGTTTGAGCTACTTTTTAGCATCACCACACCCTCTCCCATTCTACTGTGTGCTCCCAATGTGCTCCATCAAGGGTAGGCCATCTGTGGCAAAGGGACTGGAGTTGGGAATTCCCATATGACAGGGAAATTCTCTCCACTGGCCAGTTGCATCCAGTTTCTGGAACTTTTGCACCCTCTAAGTGGCACAAAGTGGCTGGATCTGATTACATATTTCAGCCTGTGATGCCACATCCTCTAAATGCTCATTTGAGGACCTTGCTCATACCATCTTTGAAACCTAACAACAGAAAAGACATTAAAAAGTGGCCACTTTTTTGTTTGTTTGTTCAGGTATTTGACAGCAACATACTTCCTCTGTTGTGCTGAAGAACGCCTGGTGCAGATCACAGCCACGATCACCACCACCACCACCGTAATGACCCCAACGGTGACCACAATGATTACTAGAAGGTTGCTGTTCTTCTGAGGCGTTACACTGCCATGTGGAGGGTGCATCTGCCCTATGGGAGGTTCTGAAAAAATATAAATGATGAGAGTTTCAGCAGCAAAATTTAACAACAGAATGTAAAAAAAACAGATGTCATGTACAACAACAGTTGGCAGAGACTGCTAGATCCAGGGTATAGACCTTTTGCCCATCAGATTGCCTGGATAAGTTTTGTCCCCAGTTGAGAGAGACAAGGAAAAAAAGATATTTTATGCCACACAAATACTTCTCTGACATAATTGATGAAAGGTCATGGTTTATGAGAAATAGCCAACTTATTTCATGCAGGAAGACAAATTACTTGACACATTATGATCACAATTTACCCCCCTTCTCCTTCAGAAGCCACCCATAAAAAAAGGCACAATTTAAAGCCTGTCTGGGGTGTGTGAATTCTACTTAAAAACAGACAGTGGGTTCAGAATGGTGTCATAAAGCACTGAAATTCACTGTGTTTCAGTGGTATAGCAAACAGGAAAATATTGAAGCAGTAAGGACTGAGGTGCAAGGCGTTTACTGGAGATTAATGACCAGCTGCTGGGAGTTGATGGCTATCAGCTCATTATTGCTATTAGCAGCTAAAACTGAAAAAAAAAAGCAATATGCATTTTTATTCCTTTCATAGCCTCTATTGATATTTACTGGAAAATTAATGTCTTGTGTATTAGCCAATCTGAATGTGTGATTCATCTCTCAAGATTCCATTCAGCTCATAATCAGCCACACATTATATTCTATTGTATTTATTGATATAGCTCCTCTGATGCAAGGTGTTAATCACGCTTCACTTGGAACATAATAGCAGATACAGAGGTCAATTCAATGGAATGACAAGACTGGACGCCAAATGATTAAGTTACATCATTTCAGGTTTCAGCTCCCAATACCACGGACTTCAAAGATTGGGCCCTTGCTCACAAGCTTTTATGGATGCTATTACATGGTGGATGGCACATTTTTCAACTGCGTCGACAGCTTCTTGCATAATTTACATAGAAAAACTCCCCTTGCATACCATCCAGAGATGGCCCAATCATGCAGTCTTTATTCAACAAAATTTGCATTTTGGTCAAAGGAACTTTTTGCCAGAGTAAGGACTGAAGGTTCAGGATCATACATTATAGACACTAGTGCAGGACAATATGAACTTTGGTTATTTTGTCTGCTAATGGATCCCATAAAGATTAAGAGCTCAGGAAAACCAAGAGATGATGACACTCAAGTTTGGAGAACTTGTCAATAACTTCATGAGCAGAGTCTGTCAAGAGTTTTCAGACAGCGGCATCATCCCAAAAGCCCATCTGTAACTTAAAAAAAAAGTGATTGTGAAGTCATTTTACCTTCATTAGAACTGAATGAGCAAATGACAAAGGTCAAAGCTTTCTAAATTGACATTTTAGCTAGTGATAAATGTAATTTTATTGTAATTTTCTATCTTCATTCTGTACTGTAGTGTCATTTCTTTATATAACAAATTAATTTGTTTAAATAAATTGACTTTTTCTCATAGTTCTTTTTCAGGCAATGGAACACGACAAGCTCTTGTGAGTTTCATGGCTTTTGTCATTAGAAGACCTAGTACAGGAATTCAGTAGTTTTTCATTTCCATATTGTGTATAAGGAATATGACATGTATAGTAAACACTGTAAAACAAATTAGCCCTTCCTCCTTCCCTAGTTCATGCATCCATCCTCTGTTCTCTCCGCAAAACTCAATTTTTCCATGAAGCCAACAACTATTAACCCAGATCCGTAAAATCCGCTAAACCAAGCAAAATAAACAAGCTGCAAGACAGAACCTTTCTGAAGGCTTTTCAGTAAATTTTGCCTCAAAAGTCTACTTAGAATATAAGCTTCACAGAGCACGGACTGTGCCTTCTGTGTCTTGTACGGAGCACATGGGTGCTGCTTAAATAATAATAATTATTCCTATAAAAACAGTAAACAAATGGCAGGTCTGGTGTTCCATTCTTAACTAGTGAAGTAGGGGTAAGTCCATGGATGTAATACTAGTATAAAATTGATACAAGATGGAGGAAATTGCTCACGGCTTATTTTAATTTTTCTCTTGCAACCCAGGATAGTGATTCATATAATAAAGTACTGACTGGATTTGTCTGATCATTATTAAGGTAACAGAATCCATGTTCACACATTTTCCTCCAAACAAGATGTCCTAGACTCTAAACCCCCCTCGACCTCTTTGAAGCCAGGAACAGCCAACCAACAGGAATAGGCACAGGAAACTTCAAAAAAATACCATAACAACTTAAAAGACATATCCAGACAGCAGTAATCATTTAAGCACACACATTACCTTTACCTATATAAACCACAAATTGATATTTTCTAGAGGCAATAGGAAGGGTTTTCTTTTTTAAAAAATTACAGTATCTCTTACATCTTAATATAACACTTGCTGAAAAAGACTAGAGAAGCTTCTATTAAAAAAGAACACCACGTTAAATAACAGCCTTCATCCTATCTTTCACACAACATAATATCCTTTAGAAACATCCATATTTTCTACAGTTTTCTCAGGGTCTTAAGACTACACAGTAAATATGAATTATCTGGAATCAAGAAGCCTCAGATTGATTATTTGGATTTTAAACAAGATTGTTCAGCTTCACAGAAGTGGCATATAGCAATGCAAACGTAATTATTAGGTATTTCTGCACTTCTTCCCCAAGGGTGTCCAATGTCCTCCAAACAAGCCATTATTTTACTGTGCAACTTCTTTCTCTACTACACACTGTAGGCATGTGTCAAGGTTCCTTCCCCACTCTGAACTCCAGGGTACAGATGTGGGGACCTGCATGAAAGACCCCTATGCTTATTTTTACCAGCTTAGGTTAAAACTTCCACAAGGTACAAACTGTTTTACCTTTTGTCCCTGGACCATATGCTGCCACCATCAAAGTGTCTAACAAAAACAACAGGGGAAGTGCCCACTTGGAACCGTTTCCCCTCCCCAAATGCCCCCCCCCCAAGCCCTACACCCCCTTTCCTGGGGAAGGCTTGATAAAAATCCTCACCAATTTGCATAGGTGAACACAGACCCAAACCCTTGGATCTTAAGAACAATGAAAAAACAATCAGGTTCTTAAAAGAAGAATTTTAATTAAAGAAAAAGTAAAAAAAAAAAAAACCTCTGTAAAATCAGGAAGGGAAATACCTTAGAGAGTAGTCAGATTCAAATCCCTCTAGGCAAAACCTTAAGTTACAAAAGGACATAAAAGCAGGAATACACATCCCATTCAGCACAAATTATTTTATCAGCCATTTAAACAAAACAGAATCTAACACATATCTAACTAGATTGCTTACTAACTCTTTACAGGAGTTCTGACCTGCATTCCTGCTCTGGTCCCAGCAAAAGCATCACACAGACAGAGAGGACCCTTTGTTCCTCCACCTCCTTCAGCTTTGAAAGTATCTTGTCTCCTCATTGGTCATTTTGGTCAGGTGCCAGCGAAGTTATCTTAGCTTCTTAACCCTTTACAGGTGAAAGGGTTTTTCATCTGGCCAGGAGGGATTTAAAGGTGTTTACCCTTCCCTTTATATTTATGAGAGCATGTAGGTAAGTCTAGTGGCCAGTAGGTTTCTGGTATAGGGTGTTTATGTGACCTGTACTTACCTACATGCCTCCAGCTTTCCTCCAGACCACACCACACGATCCATTGTCTACAGCCAAGCTCTATGATACAATCGCATTTGCTCCAACCCCTCAGACAGAGACAAACACCTACAAGATCTCTAGCAAGCATTCTTGCAACTGCAATACCCACCTGCTGAAGTGAAGAAACAGACTGACAGAGCCAGAAGAGTACCCAGAAGTTACCTACTACAGGACAGGCCCAACAAAGAAAATAACAGAAGGCCACTAGCCATCACCTTCAGCCCCCAACTAAAACCTCTCCAACGCATCATCAAGGATCTACAGCCTATCCTGAAGGATGACCCATCACTCTCACAGATCTTGGGAGACAGGCCAGTCCTCGCTTACAGACAGCCCCCACAACCTGACGCAAATACTCACCAGCAACCACACATCACGCAACAAAAACACTAACCCAGGAACCTATCCTTGCAACAAAGCCCGTTGCCAACTGTGTCCACATATCTATTCAGGGGACACCATCATAGGGCCTAATCACATCACTATCAGAGGCTCGTTCACCTGCACATCTACCAATGTGATATATCACATCATGTGCCAGCAATGCGCCTCTGCCATGTACATTGGCCAAACTGGACAGTTTCTACATAAAAGAATAAATGGACACAAATCAGACGTCAAGAATTATAACATTCAAAAACCAGTCGGAGAACACTTCAATCTCTTTGGTCACTCGATTACAGACGTAAAAGTGGCAATATTACAACAAAAAAACTTCAGAAACAGACTTCAACGAGAGACTGCTGAATTGGAATTAATTTGCAAACTGGACACCATTAAATTAGGCTTGAATAAAGACTGGGAGTGGATGTGTCATTACACAAAGTAAAACTATTTCCCCATGTTTATTTCCCCCCACCCCTACTGTTCCTCAGACGTTCTTGTCAACTGCTGGAAATGGCCCACCTTGATTATCACTACAAAAGGTTTTTTTTCTCTCCTGCTGGTAATAGCTCACCTTACCTGATCTCTCTTGTTACAGTGTGTGTGGTAGCACTCATTGTTTCATGTTCTCTGTGTATATAAAATCCCCCTACTTAATAATCCTGTATTTTCCACTGCATGCATCTGATGAAGTGAGCTGTAGCTCACGAAAGCTTATGCTCAAATAAATTTGTTAGTCTCTAAGGTGCTACAAGTACTCCTTTTCTTTTTGCAGATACAGACTAACACGGCTGCTACTCTAAAACAAAGTAGGGTACTTAATAGCTGGATCTGATTTTGTTTAAGATACTATTACTAAGTTCCTTTTAACAGCAGGAGCTATGTCTAAAATATGAAGCATACATTTGTCAGCTGGCAAAATATATTGAAGGAAAGGTACTGAGTTCAGTATTCCCTCCCTATCTGGTCTGTGGAAAGTAATCAGTCTGACTTAATCAGTTAGGTGCCTTGCAATAATTGTGTATTTTCCAGACTGGCTTTATATAGCACCTCAGGTGCTCTGTTCTTCTCATTTGTTCAATAATGTGAAAACTAAAGCTCCATTAGGTAACTGGGGAGGAAAAGGTGTTGATAGCATATCTAAAACTCAGTTGATAGTGGTCAGATTCAGTTAATCTTTAGTAATCCACAGCTTTTCCTCTTGTGTCTTGCTATATCAGCTCAGGTTTAATTAAGATTGCATTTGCCAACAGGAGGTTTAACACATTGAAACAAAATGCCATGAAATACTTTTTATGATGTTTTCCCTTTACGATCTTTTGGTTCTCTGTTTTATTTCTTATACTTCCTTCTTATCATTGTTCTTATGATGTGAGATAAAACTAAAACATCTCCTACGAAGAAAATAGCTCACTGGTTTTACAATAAGCTTCTACTAGGGAAAGAATATCTTTTTGACTGGAAATATGACAGGGGATTTATTTATTTTTTACTTTGATGGGTCAGCTTTTGAAACAGTCAAAAAAGATTTTTTTTTAATTTGTCACACACAAAAAAAGAGGACTTCCTTTCTGATATGCTTTTTAAAATGGAATAATTTCCTCTTTCTGTGGTTTACAATTGCTAAATCTACAATACATATAATAACTATTTAGTCATGGTTAGAACCTGCCAAGGGATAATTAAATTTTCTCAATTATCTATTTCATTTTACTCTTTAATCTCCTTTAACCTCTTTTCTCTTACAGGCTACTTTGCACCAGTGCTTACAGAGGTGCCTCAGTTGGCAATGGAATATAATACTACTGCAGGCTGCCTCATAGCAAAATCTTATCAATATCAGCCTTGTTTAAATTTCACTTAACTCCACCTGGTCTTCCTCTCTCAAGTGTACTAAGATCCATTAATGTCTATCTAAACTACAGGATCTGAAATATAATTTCAACTCATCAAAACTGTTATTCCTCTTCCTCTACTGGCCTAGGGCATACAGGGGAAGCAGCAGACATGATATATCTTGATTTTAGAAAGACTTTTGACACAGTCTCACATGACATTCTCATAAGCAAACTAGGGAAATGTGGTCTAGATGAAACTCCTACAAGGTGGGTGCACAGCTGGCTGAAAGACCGTACTCAAAGAGTAGTTATCAATGGTGCGCTGTCAAAATGGGAGAGTGTATTTAGTGGGGTCCCATAGAGGTAATTCCTGGGTCTGGTTCTATTCAATATTTTCATTCATACTTGGATAATGCAGTGGAGAGTACGCTTATAAAATTTGTGGATAACACCAAGCTGGAAGAGGTTGCAAGCACTTTAAAGGACAGGATTAGAATTCAAAATGACCTTGAAAAATTATGGAATTGGTCTGAAATCAACAAGAAGACTGAGGGGGGACACAACAGTCTGCCATTCCGTTAAGGTCTGTTATAATGAGGATAGTGATCAATTGTTCTTCATGTCCACTGAAGGTAGGACAAGAAGTAATGGGCTTAATCTACAGCAAGAGAGATTTTTGTTAGGACACATGTCTAATTATAAGGGTAGATAGAAGCTCTGAAATAGGCTTCCAGGGGAGGCTGTGGAATCCCCATGACTGGAGGTTTTTAAGAAAAGTTTGGACAAACACCTCAGTCAGTAATGGGCTAGGTTTACTTGGGTCTTCCTCAGAGCAGGGGCTTGATGACCTTGAAGTCCCCTTTCCAATTCCAATATTTCTATGATTCTGTAACACAAACTATCATACTATGACTGGGATTTTGAAACTCACCCATATAGGAATGGAACAATCTTATACGTGGTGAAGAAGGTGATGGGGAGGGAGAGAGAGGATGGGGTTCACTGCTGAAAATGGACTTAATAATCAAACTTAATTAGATGGAGTCTAGTTTAGTCTATATTTACCATTGAGGCTGCTTCTGTCAATCAAGTTCGTGTCAACTGGCCAATAGGCCCCATCTCCATGACGACCTGTTAACAGAAAAGCATGTGTCAGAAACAGAATGACAGATAAACTGATCTAAGTGTGATCTGCTTCTTGAAACAGAGTCCATCTGACAACATTTAAGCCATTAGACAGTGAGGGGAAAAGTAATTCTGTATGTGCATGAGAAAATCTGTCATAAAAGTCAACTTTTAAATGAAGCTGAATTTCAAGCCTTTGAGAGGCTTGCCTTTTTACATTCTTTCTCCAACAGTCCTTGTTAAAGGGACAAAATAAGGTGAGGCAGTAGTAACAGTCAGAATGTTCTTCCTCAAAAGCTGACAGATCTGATGGAAAAGTTAGTTCATAGCACAGATGAAAGACATAATATTGGGCTTCCCTCACATTTATGCGGCTTATGTTCATTGATGGCTCCCAACTGACATTTCTTTGAGTGCAGGTAAATTGTCATTATTATTCTACAAGGTGACAGTACATCTCATCTAGTGTCTGGGTGTCTAGTATTCCTTCTGTTACTTGCCACAGAAGATAAGTTTAATATTTGATTATATTCTTATATGGGGAAAGTAACCCCTGTATAGTTTAGTTTATAAACTGATGTTCTTTGGGGTGCTATACTTAATATTGAATCAAATCAGTCAGAAGAATGTAAGAACACTGTAAAATTGTCAAATAGTATTCCACAAGATATTAAGCAAATATATATATATATCATTTAAATATATTTATTTAATATCATTTATCATATATATATATATATATATATAATTTTATTCCATCCCCAGAAATACTATTTTTCATGGAATTGCCATTTTTTACATTGAAAATGCAGGAATTTCAAAATGGATATGAAGTGATTATTGTTTTAAAGAAACTAAAAAATCTCCTTTAAAATTAATATTTGTTGTTGTTTTTAAGAAAAGAATATTTGCCCCATTTCACAGGTTTTACACAAACGTGGAAAATAAGGAAAACTTTGACTTCTGAGATGTTCATATTTTGAACTTAATTTTTGTATGCTTATACCAGTAAGCAATTTTAGGGGCAAATTCAAAATGGTGGCTATGGCCACCTTGAGCCACCCAGGTGATGGATCTGTGATGTTGCCAAGGACTATGCTTATGCCTTCCCCATTCCTGGTAGATGGGGCATGTCAGGGTTGGTAGGGGGCAGGGTAGAGCTCTGCTATACTATGTTTATCTTCCACTTGTATAGAGGATCAATCAAGGACCATAAACCACTGGTAGAATGTAGTGCAGCTCTGGTGCAGGACAGAATCTGAGTACTTTGCCAGTCTAGGAATCCTATACCAGCAACATACTGCTCATATGGATGCAGCTTATACTAGCAAATCTGTGCTCTTGGCAGTATTACTTATTCCACCCCCATCCCTCTCAGCAAAACAAGCTGTACCAGTAAAAGTGAAATTTTGCATTTATTACTGCATTTACATTAGGGGCTTCTGCTGGCACATCTACGTTTGTCAGGGTGGGATTGCACTCTTTCACACCCCTAACCATTACAGCTATACAGCAGACACCTGTAGTGTCGGCATGGCCTGAGTAATGTACTTTCCCAATAGATAGCGAGGTGACTAAGTAGATGGTATTCTTCCCTCTGAGTTTGTAATAAATCAGCATCCTAGCATGGAGTCATGGAGTCCTGTTACTTCCATTTTTCAGGTGAGACATAAAAATGAGCCGATGACCAATTCTGGACAATAAAAAACCCAGGAGTCTTTTTCGAAAAGTTGTATGGGGGCATTTAACCCCAAATGTTCTAATTAAATTCCAGCTCTGGTATCTAGTGTTTAGTTACGTCGAATCCCTCAGTAGTTGCAGCTGGAAAACATTTTCTTCACTTCCTACCATACACTATGATTATATTTGTGCATTGTTAAACAGTTGCAGCATTTCATTCCAGAGGTAGCTGCGTTTTGGGGGAGTATGAAGTGATTCCTATGTGTAATTTTGTCTATCGATTTGTAAAGTGCTTTGCAACGAAAGGAACTATATAAATGTAAGATCATTATCATCATAGGTGACTTCAACATAATCATCCTTTCAATCAGCATAATTGCACAGCAAGGTTGCACAATATTTAGCTGCAACAAGTACCGGCAAAAGTGAAATGAATGTTGGATGCACTGTAACTCTGTTTACAGAAACGGCACTGTATAAAAGTAATATTCCCGGGTTTGCACTAGCAGCTTTCAATATATGGGGATAAACTGTCAATAGAACCAAGTAAATTGGGTGTCTCAGTGGGAGATGCTGGTGGGTACTCAGTATTTGTTTAAAATGTTGTCCTTACTCAGGCATCTAAGTGGGACTTGATCTCTTTTAAAAGTCTAGCCCTTGCTGTCTGCTTTAACTCCTCTCTACAATTTTAGATATTAGAACTCTTCAAGGCATTACATGTCATATTAATTGATGTACAAATATTTTAGAAACTGGAGGCCAATTTAAGGTTTCATGATCCTCATGAAATCATGGATTGAGTAATTGAGCAAAGTACAAACAACATGGCTATTTCAGAGTCCTAAGGACAGAAGTGACCTTCAGATCATCTAGTCTAACCTCCTGCACATCATAGGCAACAAAGCGTACCCACTTATCCCTGTACTGAGCCCAATAATCTGAATTAGGCTACAGTATTTACACCTCCCAGAGACTAAATTACTCTATCACACAGGCAGAGAATAGGAAGGACTGAGGTGCTACAACAGCTAAACCCCCTGCAATGGCAGGGAATTGATTTGGTGAGACTTCTTCTAAGTTCATTTTCAACTGAATTGCCCTACAGGCAAACCCTGGTGAACCTGACCAGAGTAAGAGGAACACTGGGATTCCAAAGATCAAATAACACTTACTACAGGGCTAGGTTAAAGCACAGGTAATATAGGCTTGTACCTAGAGACCCAGCTCTTGAAGTCGTATGATTATAAATAAAACAACTGTAATAGTTATTCTTGAAAATGTGACCCAGAGGTAATCAACACAGTGATGACAGTCTGAGTGGGCACACATCATGAAACAATAGCACTGAAAGGCATAAACGGCGCTATACATCTTCCTGGATGTTACCGCCAAGAATTGCTGTGTAGTGGAGGGGTCACCCACTCCTGCCCTGAAGGGCTTGAAATCAGACCTAGGAGAGGGCTGCTGCTAGGGAAAGCAGCAAGCCTCGGCTGATTGGGGAAACAGCCACAGCTGTGGCCAAGCCACAACCAGGGCCCAGCTGGCCTTTATAAGGCGACGAGGACACACTCTTTCTCTAGATGTTGAGAGGGAGGGGCCTAACTGCTGGGAGCTGAGCAGGGTACCTAAAGTGGAGCAGGGCTGGGGAAAGGCCAGAGGAGCTGCGGAGCTCTAGCCTGGGCTGATAGCCAATGATGGACCTATTCTCTGAGATGCTTAGGACAGCTCTGAAAACACTCAGTGTATGGCAGGAAGAGAAGAGTGCAGCCATACCCACTTACCTAAGCAAATACACCCCAACTTCTGGGGTAAATAATGGGGGGGGTCCTCTGCTGCCACCCCTTCCTCTCATGCTTCTGTTCTTGGGGGAAAGGAGGATGCCCCAGGATGCTCTGGTAGGGGAGGGAGAACTGTGCCACTGTGCAAGGGATGGGGGGAACAATCTTATAATTTTTCATAAAAAGAAAGCTTTCATAAAAGGAAAGCTTCTAAAATGTCTTTTTGGAGGGAAAATCAGCTTCATGGCAAAGGAAAATGATTTAGTTTTATGCATGAAAGCTAATGTTTTCAAATGGTCTAACTTTTGATAAGTGTTGATTAGACTGATAACAGGGGAGAGAAATAAATAACACTTAAGCCCAGCACACAATATTTCAACAAAACTAGCTATCAGCAGTAGCTAAAATTGGATTTATGGTAATATAGATTTATTCTGGTATTAAGATAAACAAACAAACACAATTATTCAACATTTTGATTATCTTGGAAATCTACACATTTAGGAGGTTGTAAAGCTGTAAGGTAAATCTTCAACACAGCGTGCTGGAAGCTAGATGCTAAAGAGTAAATGGTGCTGGTGCAGGACTATTAATGCTGTACTTCGAGCCAACATGCCTTCTTGGAAGCTTTCTTCATCTAGCTCTGTGTGGAGCTTACCACATTCTTCCTTTTGAAAAGTAAAATGATGCACAAGTCCATTGCTACTTTGAGCCCAAGTGCTTCATTCTGGCTTCATGTCTCATTCTCCCATTAGCCTACATACTTAGTCTCATCTACACACAAAACCACCTCCTTTGTGAATCCTTCTGCACTTACAACATCACCTCCTACCTTGCTAAACCTGCCTCATATCACTGTGATTTTTTTTCTGCCACACTCAGAACTGTTGCTATTCCCCTGTACAGTCTTCCTCTGGATGAAACCCCACCTTTCTCACTTCTTCTTCTTTAGTGGAGACCTTATATTTCCCCCTCAATATCTGATCTATGTAGTTGGCACAAGGCTGGGTTCTCGGTACTCTGCAGTTTTTCTCTGAGTTGTGTAACGGGTGGCAGAATTCAAACTAGCAGAAATATGTTCAAGAAGTGCCAACTTTTCACTCAAATTATGCAGAAAGGATGGTTTTAACTTTGGACATCACTTCAGTGTGAATGATTTCTGACATTTCTATTTCCCATTTGTCCTCTGTCTTCAATTAGCTCCTTCTTTAGAATGCTTATGTGACTAAAGTCCTCCACTGGAAAATGTCCTTCTCCCACAACTATAGCTGAACTACCATTATTTTTAATATTTTTAACTTTGCCTCATCAAGGCCACAAAACTTGAAGTTCCCCCTGACTACAAATTTTCTTTTTCTTGTCAGTTCTCCAGCATTTGTAAATCTGGCATCAATCCTGCTGTAACTCTAGCAGACTTCTTCATTGTTAGCTCATTTTTCCTGATTTATGCTTCATCATTTATATTTTAACTACTGAAAATCACTTATCTCCAAACTTCAGATATCCCAGAATGCCCTGTCCAGAGTACTCTCACTCCAGGAATTATTG